CTAGTCTCGTCTAAACCTCCGTTGACACCTCATCACCCTCGAGAGGATTCGTAACCGAATAGTCTGCCTTGTTCAGGTTCACAGCGGAAATATTGATATCGCCTGGAGACTTTAATTTCGTATGAAAGTGCATGAAGAAGAGATTGGAAGGTCGGTCTCACCGGAAGACGACGGCTTATTTCCGTCTTCTAGAAAGGTATCTAAATTCACTTGCCATTCGTATCGAAAATATAAGTAGTATGCTCATCTCGACTGCAGGTTGGCAGCCTAACAAGCATAAATACCTCTTCCTATTGAGGTAATGGGTTTCTCATACTAAAATGCATTTTACATGGCTTTACCGTTCAGGCGAAATTGACGATTATCACAGAAATTCCGGTCTGTATTCTGCATTTTTGTGTCACTCTTTGATCCAATGAAGTATAAAAACTAGCATTTCCTGTCACAACAAGACATCGAAATACCATTAGAAATAAGGATGTGGAGGGGTAGGAGTTGTTCAGTTGCAAGCCATACTCGCTAGAAACTTTTTCTCAAGTCTATTATCGCCCGGGACTCCGATCACTGATTCAAGAAAAGCTTGATTCTTGCTGACCGCGAACCCATGAGCGGCAGACGACTGCGCGTCGTCTCTACACAAATCTCGAGACAAAGACTTTTTAAGAACATGAGAATTAGGCTCAACCGGGCCTCGGAGACAAGGTCGCGAGGTAAGCACAGATAAACTGGTCGGTCTTTTCGCTTTTCGCCGTGACATGAGGGCTCTATTGCTGTGGCAAAAGCGTTCAGAGCGCAATTGGATTATTGTGTTTGTGTGTATGAAAGGGATAGAGAAAAGAAATACATAGAGTCTGTCTTCGTGTGTGTATACTTGCACACACGTGTGTCATGTGTGTTGGTGTGTGGCTGTGCGTTTGTGGCCGTGTGGAGGCTGTGAACCGGGCCCTTGTGGACGGATCCAAGCCTGAGACTGAGAGTCAGCAGGCCTTGCTTCGTAGTTGTCGCGCTCTTTGCATATACATCTTC